AACCTACCCCCACCCCCCATTACTCTTTGCTCAGTTGAAAATTCTTGCATGCTATAAACAGTGTTAATATCACTTTTTTGCAGAAATCAGATCCAGTCGTGTCTTATCGTGAAACAGTGGCAGAGGAATCCACCCAGACATGCTTGTCAAAATCACCAAACAAGCATAACCGTCTTTTTATGAGAGCTGCCCCATTTCCTGACGGCTTGGCTGAAGACATTGACAAAGGAGATGTAACCTCTAGACAAGACCCCAAACTTCGTGCCAGGTACTTGGCTGACAAGTATGAGTGGGAAGCTGGAGAAGCTCGGAAGATTTGGTGCTTTGGTCCTGAGGGAACTGGTCCAAATATGGTGATTGATGTAAGCAAGGGAGTGCAGTACTTGAATGAAATTAAGGATAGTGTTGTAGCCGGATTCCAGTGGGCAACCAAGGAAGGCCCTCTTTGTGAGGAAAATGTCCGTGGTGTGAGGTTCAATATCCATGATGTAACACTTCACACTGATGCAATTCACAGGGGTGGTGGTCAGATTATTCCAACTGCCCGTCGTTGTTTCCTGGCCTGTATGTTGACTGCCTTGCCACGTATATTGGAGCCAATATATTTGGTTGAAATTCAGGTGAGAAAAACAGCTTAAACACCCTGGAATGCTCAAGCTTATCTTGGGGAGGTGCTCTAGGAATGTTGGGGTAGGGAGTGTAATGAGAGAGAAGATCCTTGTGCCGTGTTTGGATGTAATAATGATCGCCTTTTTCTAGTTTAGTATTAGAAATATGGTCTTTCACTGTATATTTCTCGGGAAAAAGGCTATCATTATTACATCTAAACACACGTGTCCCTAGAAAAAAGGGTAATGTTAAAATAAGATTCTTTTTAAGTTCTTTTTTACAGGGCTTTTCGCGAGCTTTTATGTTTGTTTTACACGAGTACGGGGGACCCGTAGGATATTATGAGGAATTTAGAAATTAATTCAATATGGCTGCCGTATCGGTAAAAAGGTCTATTGACAGGAAAAGCTGTCCGGCACAATATGAACAACAACGATAATAGAACTGGATGAAGTCATTCACGCACACCAAATGCAGTATCAGAGCCTCCTAATCCTCATTTCTGAACAATACTTCCATCTATGCGGGGTTACTGTCCTTGTTCCTACTCATTTACTTCCACTGTGGTGCGAATACCTGTTCACCCTGAATCAAAGAGTAGCAGAAATATATCCAATACATATCATGACAATCCACTTTCAAGGTTGGCATGCCGTAGCTTCACTCTGTCACAGAATTGGCACCAAAATAACCTCTACATGTGATTGCAATTGTGGATTCCAATTTGATTTGCTCCAAATCTTCTCGCTAAAAAATTACAGCAAATCGCTCGCCTACTGATTTAACCAGTCTGCAATTGTTGTACACTTCCTCTTTAGTGTCCAGAGGCCGCAGTTGGAGGCATTTATGGAGTGCTTAATAGGAGACGAGGCCATGTATTTGAAGAAGGTCAAGTTGCAGGAACTCCCATGTTTCATGTCAAGGCCAATCTACCTGTTAATGAGTCATTTGGTAAGAATTATTTAACCCTTGGCAATATAATTTATCTCTAACTTTATTTTAATCTGTACATGTTGTTCACTGTACAATGTTGTGTACTCTACACAGTGTCTAGAACAAACACAAAATTATTGAATGGAGGTATTGGCCCAATACCTACGTGAAATGATTATCTAAATACAGTATTCGATGATGTAGTTACCTTGCGCGGGAGTTGCAGAAACAAGCGGCCCTCCCACGGTCCCCATGGGAAAAGCTCCAATTTGTTGTAGTTCTCTCCCTGCATGTGAAGTCTTTCCTTACAAGAGAGGAATATGCTATTTGTAGATCACTCCGTTAAATAGAAATATATTCACTTGCCATAGATTGTTAGAAGGGCTTAAAATGCAATATCCGACAGAAAAAAAAACTAAACATCAAAGGTTGGGCGGCTGTCATGATTAAGAAGAGTAGATTGAAAATAATGTTTTGAATTTCCGTTAAGAGTTATACTCTCATGCGATATTTTGTGGGGGGCAGAGGGGGTGCATTATGGAAATGTCCCAGTTGAAAATAATGCCAATTGTTTTTTTTGTTTCATAAGGCTAACTGGCCTTTTTTTATTCATGGCCTTAGAAGTCACGCCCTAGAAATGCAAAAGTATCCCAGAACTTTTGTCCATGATTGTAGCTAAACCAATAGGACAAAACATAAGACAGGGCAAGAATTTTCCCATCACAGCATGTCATCAATAATGTGATATTTGAAAAGGATGTCACAAACGCAATTACTTAGCGAAATTTTCCTTGCGTATATCATTTAAACTTGAAACAATATTTTCTCTCTATTTTCTAAACGGCGTGTTCACCATAGTCTTACCCGGGGGTAGCCTGCAAACTTCAGACGTATTTCCGGTCGTCGCTTCTCTCCCTCTAAAAAGTAAGAGAAAAAAAAGCGACGACCAGAAGTATGTCTGCAGTTCACAGGCTAACCAAGATGGTACTCCCATAATTTTCGGAAAGAGGTGTGCCTCCTGCATTCTTAAACCCTGACCCCATTTCAGGAAGAGGCAAACGAAAATTGACACCCCATTGAAGGCCCAGACCCGAAAAATGACACCCTATTCAAGGGAAAAACAAAACCTAAAAATTTAATGGTAACATACAGACCTTTGTTATCACTTTGCTAATGCTGTAAGAAATACAGGTTTAGTAAAGAGTCTTGAATTCTTAAAAAGTCTCGAAATTTGCCCAGCAATTTTCCACTTTCACATTCCCATAATACACTTTATTCCCCCCCCCCCCCCCCCCCACCCCCAACCACCCACAAAACCCACCCAATTAACCCCTCTACTAACCTCCTCCCAAAAAAAAATAAAAAAAAAAAATAATAAAAATTGTGTTTGAACAAAAGGATTAAGAGGAAGTGAAAATAGAGATTGGAGAGTGTATAAAAAGTAAAGGGAAAGAAGAAAAGCAAGAAGACGAAGGT